AATTGAGAACCTATAGGCCCTTCTTAAAGCAGAAATCTATAAGATTCGGCCAGATCTCATACATATCAAGAATAATAATGAGACTAAGCGAATCTTGGTGGAAACTGCATAGATTACATGGCAAAATATGGATATGAAGCATTTGGAACACCTTTCTGAGGCTATGCCTAACAGGGTGCAAGTAATTATTGAATCGGAAGGGTGGTATACGCCTTACTAGGCCTATTAGGTGGCCTAGTGGTGGTGCAGTAATTAGTTCTTTGGTAGATTATTGAATTCATGGAGTTTAGCGGAGGTTTTGCGACCGGCAGTATATTATGTAATATATGGGGTGTGGGGCGGGGGTCCAAAAACTTATGCGCAGTCACTGTATGTCTGGCATTGTCTGGATATTACAGTGAATAAAAGGCTTTCTTTCTATTTACTGTAATAGATAAACCGGCACTACGTGGTCACTACACATATAGACAGGGAGCGAACGTAGCATATATCTTTGTGAATATATCAGGAGTATGAAATCAAGAACATTGGCTCCCCTGATCAAACTTGATCGGTCACCTAATTGCGGGGTAAAATTCCAAGTTAGTAACACCTATTAGGTACCCGAGCATCGGCCTGATTCAAGGACTATTATGGCAACTAATATCTCATATGACGGCCCTAACTCGGGGCTTCAAATTGGACAGAACCGTGGCCATATCACTGCTCAGTTCAGTAGGTAGGAAAAACCACGACTCCACGGAATGCGACTAATTAGTTTGATTGTCTCAGTACAATCGGAACCGTCATTGGATTAAGCGTGCCTCCGGGATCTGCGAACGACCAGTCCTCATGATGACAAAGATCGCATCGAACGAGCCAATGGAGGGTTGCTCGTAGACTCGTATCGCTGGATTTTCGACAACGAGCACTTCAAAAAATGGCAAGACAACCAGAGCCGCCGTTTACTCTGGATCAGGGGCGATCCTGGGAAAGGCAAAACAATGCTGATATGCGAAGTGCGGTGTATCACACACACATATATGTTGACAGATACTTACATTAAGTAAAAGTACCACACTAACTGCCTCGGCGTCCGGTCCGTGTTCTGCTAGCGTCATATTCGATGCCGCTGTCACTGTTGGGCCAGACATTGGCACGGGTGAGACCCCACCGTGGTGGCTGGGGACTGGGCGCCTTAAGCAGAGTACTACTTATTAGACTTCGGCACAACCCATTCTAACCTGGACCCAACCCAACCCAACCCAACCCAAAGTGGGTTTTGGGCCCCAATATAGTGCAAAAAAAACAAACAAAAATTTTATATGGTTAAAATTCAAAGATTTGAATATATATATATATAGTATAGTAACTCAATTTTAAAACAAAAGCAAATTTATATAAAAAGCATTTTATACTACTAAAAAAGTATGTTTAAAAATGCCAAGACTTGTATTTTATGAATTTTATGAATTTTTATGCAAAAATGGGTTCAAATGGGTTATTATTTGGTTTTGGGTCGGAGACTCCGACCCAAAATGGGTTCTGCCGAAGTCTACTACTTATATAAGGACGGTGGAGATGGCTGACACCCTGCCTCTCTTCTGTAATAACAAACCGACGCCTACCTATGCACCTACCAAAGTACTCACTTCAACAAATGCCAATTTAAGGACTGTTAAAGTGGAGTGAAAACCAAGCGATTAGGTCCAGTAATGATAATGGAAACGCAAATAGCTGACCTGGCCATAATTGGTGCTGGTAAATTCGCCCCTCTCATATCCTTAGACTCTTTTACCCTATATGTTCATCAGGAGCTTCCGCAGCTAACCACAATTAAAAATTGATCGCGACAGGCTGGCACGGTCTCGCGGCCGCCAAATCAGCACTCGCGCTCGATCCCAGTGTCAATCTGGTGGTTCTGGATTCCGCCGCATCAGTGGGGGGTGTCTGGGCAGAGGAACGCTTATATGCGGAACTCAGAACGAATAACCTACTGGGATCATACGAATATGGTGACTTTCCTATGAGGGACAACGTTCCCGGTTTAGTTAAACCCGGTGAGCATATGTCAGGCAGAGCGATGCATGAATATCTGAAAGCGTACGCTGCCCACTTCGGGATCCTCGACAAAATTAAGTTGAATTGTAAGGTTGACAGCGTGGAATACTGCGAGGGAGATGATGGAAGGGGAAAACAGTGGGTCATCAAATGCACAACAACAATAGAACCAGGACACGAGAAGAGCAATACTATACGGACGCGGAAACTGATACTCGCTACGGGCCTTACCTCGCAGCCGCGTATTCCTACATTCTCTGGCCAGCAATCTTTCGGCGCGCCATTGTTCCACGCAAAAGAATTTGCCCTTTACCAAGACACCATCTTCGCTAAACCCAGCAATGATAACACAGGCGACCAACATGAAGGCGCCCGTGCCGACCACACACCAATAACGGTACTCGGCGGAAGCAAATCCGCTTGGGACACCGTCTACGCCTGCGCATCAAAGGGACACCGCGTCAACTGGGTCATTAGAGCTTCTGGGACTGGACCCGCGTGGGTGAGCCCGGCCGCTGCTTTCTCGCCCTTCAACCTCCTCCTCGAAAGCCTCCCTCTCGTGCGTGCCTTGGGCTGGTTCAGCCCCTGCATCTGGGTGAGCCACCCGATACGCAACTTCTTACATGGGACATGGCTCGGCTGTATTATTGTGCGTCTGTTCTGGACCTGCCTGGAGTGGGATATGGTTCGGGTCAATCGATACAGCGATCATGAGGAGACGGCGAAGCTAAGACCCTGGCTTAACCCTATCTGGATGGGGACCGCGGTGAGCATTATCAATTTCCCGGGTGATTTCTTTAGATTGATCCGACGGGGACTGGTGAAGGTGCATATTGCCGATGTTGAGCGGCTGGAGCCTTATAAGGTCGTTCTGTCCAACGGTGGCGACAGTCTGGACACGAAGGCACTTATCCTGTGCACAGGCTGGAAAGTATCTCCAGGCATTCGGTTCTTGCCGGATGGAACCGAACAAGAGATGGGCTTCCCGTGGGCTGCGGACCCAATTGATCAAGAGCTCGTTAGGCAGGCCCGCAAAGACATATACACGCGTATGCCCATGCTCCACACCGGCCCAGAGAGCAGGACCTACCACACGAAGGATGCGGAGGGTCAAAATGAAACCGTTCTGCACCCCTTCCGTCTCGCGCGCTTCATTGTCCCACCAGGACTATGGGATGACCATAGCATCGCCTTCTTAGGGACCGTAACCACGTTCAACACATCCTTTGTTGCCGAAGTGCAAGCCCTGTGGGCGCTAGTCTATCTTAACCACGGCTCTGAGCTTCACCATCATCATCAAGACAAGGAGTCAATAGTTAGCGAGACAGCACTACACACAGAGTTCTGTGCGCTGCGCTCCCCGGCGGGCCATGGAGTACGGACTGCCGACTTTGTCTTTGAGGTCATGCCGTATTTGGATCTCTTGCTTGGGGATTTGGGCTTGAGGACTGCGAGGAAGGGGTCGTGGTGGGAAGGTTTGTTTGTTCCGCATCGGCCGAGGGATTATGCGGGGTTGGTGGAGGAGTGGAAGGCGCGACTATCTTCATCCCAGGAGGGACGGAAGATAAAGGACACTTAGCGCTATAGAGAAGACTCTGTACGGGGTGGCTCCGCGTTACTGTTCATGGTAAATACTTTGATGGGTTTCATTTATGAATGTTAGCACAAGGGGATCTAAATGACCTTAGCCACTAGGCAGACGGCATGAATCTAGATTACATATCACACTAATAATGTTGAAATCCGTTGACCATCTTCCCTCAATCAGCTTTCTCGCTAGCCTTGTCTATGATTCCGAACATCCAGTAACGCACTTGGGTTGGAACCTCCGAACACGGCGTAACACACCATCAAGGCAAGAAAAGCATATGACAGAGCCGATTGGGAAAAGATCGGATGGGAGGTGCGGACACTCATGAGACCATGAAAAACCCTGGACTCGATAGAGGCGCTTCATGCTACGGTAGAAAGGCTCACACAAGAAACTGCAAGAGCGATCGACCGTCATACTTCGGGCCTGCAGTTGTCTCTCTCTGCAAAGCGGTGGTCCACCGCGGACTTGAACCCTCCACAAAAAGAGGTAAACCATGCGCGGCGTAGATAGCAAGAGCGCTGCGCGGCGATAGGGCTGGATAACCCTCACGCTTTGGCACTCTTCGGAGACATGCGCCAGAAGCGACAGAGGGCGCGGATAATTGAGAAAGCCAAGACATCACATTAAATATATTTTCTTGACGACACGGGCAAAGGAAAGTAATGGAAAGAGGCAACATACATGAAAGCTACCGAAGTAACCAGGAGTGGGGGCATCCTGCCAATTTGCTTCCGATGGGTCGATTATACGAGGCTGATCTGCATTGTCACCAAAAGAGCTATTGGTCATGGCGAATATGTCCAGAGGAGGGGTAAGCTAGAGCTGTACTACGTAAGGGATTAGCCAGGTATGCCTGATGCCCAATGAACACCGGAAGCCGCCACATGGCGATAAGCAATGATAATCACGACACAAAGCTGTCAAGCCTTGCCTACCAACTTGACTAGAGATGGACACTAAAGGCAGCGTCAAACCCTCTGCAGTGAAGCAACTGAGGGTGGAGGGAAGTTGACACATTGCTAACGGTCGCTGGTTTGCTTAGCTTGCATAAAGCCTGCTAGTGCTAGCCATCCATGCTTCCAGGAACTTGTATCGATACAGCCGGGGTACAAGATCAGGTACTATTACAATGTATATTCAGAACTCGTAATTCACGCGATTCCACATCAGGTTTCTCAGACCACGTGATTAGGGTTTGAAAGAGCAACACTCTGTTTCCAGATATGGAAGGCAATAACGGGCGGCACTATACTGTACTTGATGACTACCTGAGGATTTGGGGCAGTAGAGCTGGTATTATCTTTATATAGCACTGAATCACAACAAATCAATAGCGGGCGATTGAACACGAAATCTACGTATAATATCAAAACGTCTGCCACGCATTCGCACTGTAAGCCTGCGTAGTCAATCCCTCACATCCCTTGCCCATCTACCAATATCGCCTACGAACCGGCGTGCGATACCTACCGCAACTCCTTTTTCGATGAAGAATCCCGCATTATGATCCTCATGGATCTGTTCAAGATCCAAGCCGTTGGTGAGCGTTACATCACAAGCCAGCCGAAATTGGGCCTTGAGGGTTTCATCAATGACGTTTGTTTCTTGCCATGCACTGTATTCTCTCACAGCCACATCTCGGGGTCCATAGATGACGAGCTGATTTGCGTCTTGCCTGTTTTTCAGAGGCGGCAGGACAGATGCCGCTGTAGGAGTAATCACTGCTGGCTGCATAGAAGGCTGCGCTCCCATAAAGTTGATATTGATCGGCGGGCAGCTTCCGGAGACGGCTCCTTTATTGCTTTTGGATCGTGAAGATTCTAGCCTGTGCTGCTCCTCCATATAGAGCTCTTCACGGATAGTGTCAGGAACATCATCTTGGCACTCCAAAACGCCGCCCCCTTCAACGTAAGCTATCAGACGTTTCAAATGATGAGTCCTTAGTTGATAGTGTTTCTTCCCATGAGGATCCTGCCAGCAATGCGGGCCTAGGTGACAGGATGGTGAAGGGTAACCCATCAAGCTGTAGACAGCCCGCCAGATCGACTGTTATCCGGATACGTACTCTTCGGCATCGAGTTGTGCGTCTCGCTCATTGAGCATCTTCTTGGTGACAGGCGACTTTCCCCGTTTATCGCTCCTAGAAAGGTCGTCCTCTATGTAGTGGAAGACGATCACGAGCCTCAACTCCTTGCCCCGGGTATAAAGTTTACTCCACGCAAGTAATTGTTTCTCAACTGCCATCCAATCAATATCGAGAGAGTTAAACCGCTTCTTTAGGTCCCGTTGCTTGCGATCGTTGACAGACACAACTATGGACGTGTCATCGGACCTGACCCGTCGATTACGAGAGACTCTCTCTTGGAGAACTTTCTCCAGCTTACCCTTGAGGACCGAGGGCCAATGAGCACTTGGAGTCAGGGTTACATCCTGTTCCGTGTCCTCCGACCTGAAGCGGTTATTCACCTTCACCTTCCATTCGATTGTATATCGGATAACGTTTGAGGAAGCTCGTCGTCTGTTCTACATTCTTCCCACTCACAGAGTTGAAGAAGCCGTGGGTTGTCTTCCTGGGGAGAAGAGGGGGCTGCAGGGCCATCTTGAGTGTAGCAATCCGGTGAAGGGCTAAATCCATATTCTGAAGGTGGTGTGTGATCATAGTATCCTGGAGTGGGCGCGTATTGCCAATCCTGGCACGAAAGATCGCGCGTATGAGCTTGAGAATCGGAATGGTCGCAAAATGAGTCATTAAACATGGTTGGCATTCTCCTAATGAAGGCAACGTTAGCATACCGGGCTTTTGATTTCAACAGGCGGTGGGATCGGTTGAAAGGTCCAGCAGTTTGTAGAGTCGATAATAAAAGCGTTGATAAGCAATACCCCACCAGATTATTCTTTACTTGCCCACGTCTTTTCGTTCTTTCAACGACCTCTGTCTTGTCCGTGGAATGGGAGGAGTCGACCGAAGTTGGAATGTGTGACATCTGCCCCTTTCTCTTGACATATTTGGCTTGCTTGTTAGAGGGAGCTTCTAGAACGGACAACCCATACAAGACAATACAAAGGCTATTTTTACATAGTATTTTACAGTGGTATTAGAATACCGCCAAGCACGGCTCCAGGAGTAGCCTAACCATAATAGATATAGTTTGATGCAAGATAAAGTTCCAAAACAAATTAAATTGAAAGAAATAGGTGAAACTGATTTCGAGCGGCCCTGTATTGTGAAGAAACAGTGAGCAACTGCTAGATGTTTACATTGTCGGCCTTGAACCATGGATTCTATCCCTCCCCCTCGCAGCCATCTCGTCAATTTCCAAGCTACTCAGATTCTAGGGAACGTTGATTGAACAATAGGTAAGGGCTCACTTACTCTTTGACGCCTCTTTGACACTTTGAGACATTATCGGTTTCCGAATACGTCTGATGCTCGAAACGAACCAACCGCGTGGAGAATGTAGGCCGTTGCCATGCATCCCAGAGCAAGAGTAAGTCAATCTGCATTATTTTATACGAGTGGGACCACTGCGTTGCAAGTCCTCTTACGCCAGCGGATCTGCAGGGAATCGGGTTCCTTTCAGGACGGCGGACTAGGTACTTGGTACTTAAATTCATATGTTTAGGGTACAATACATTTCAATCATATATTCAATTTAGTATTCGATAGATACTTTTTGTGTGAATATGTATATTCTTTTGAGAATAAAAGTGAATCATAGCAGAGCAAAAGAAGGGACCTGGGGTTTAAATTTATGTGAATTAGCCTAGGTGAGAATTGCACCCCATTCTCACCTCTCTCACCCTAGTCTCTAGAATTCTCACCTAGAGTGCCGCTTAGGTGCTAAGGGCACATTGAGTATTAGCCGTGCAGAAGGGCTTGAGTACGGCTGAGCGGATAGGAAGCCCTGTTTTCCACACCCTGTGGCCGTATGTACTTGTTTTGGTGCGGGAAAGGATTATAGAGTAAAGAGATCAATGTAGAATTGATTGTCAGATATTACTGAGCGTCGCTTTATTAGGTACAGGTGTGCTATAGATGTGTGGTTGAATACTGAACGAAGAGCTCCTCTACCCGTTATTCATATTGTTTTATAGATATCAAGAGGAGAGCATAAAGGCACACAAATGTCCGCCTGAGTCGACATCGTCTCTATGCTAGCTAGACGAGTGGCACGAGCATTGTTACCGGCGGGGGTATACACACTCTCTTCCAGACTGATCATCTTTGTACACTACATGGGAAGCAATAGCTTGTAGGGAAGGTAGCCTGCAACTTAATTAGAATCCGATTGTATTGCCACTGGGCCGTAAACGTCAAAGGACTTCACAATTCATCAACACTGTTCACCCAATCAAAAGAAGCCATTAGACATCATCAACTCCGAGAGTAGACAAAACCTGAGCAACAGTCTGCACATCCTTATCACCCCGCCCACTAAGACAAACAACAACATCCCGTCCAGGCCCCAACTCCCCCGCAACACGCACAGCTCCAGTAACAGCATGCGAGCTCTCAAGTGCAGGCATAATTCCTTCAAGCCGACAGAGCAACGAAAAAGCCATCAGGACTTCCGTGTCATTTGCCGCGATAAAAGTAGCCCGACCAGACTCTTTCCAACTCGACAACTCGGGTCCAAGACCAGGATACTCAAGTCCAGCAGAGACAAAATGTGTCTGACGAATCTCCTCGTCCTCATCCTGAGGCAAAAGTTTGCGCAACCCTGGAAATACACCAACAGAGGTAAGAGTCGGCAAAGCAGGGTGCTGCTCCAACAGAGACCCATCACCAGCTGCCTCGACGCCAACAAGAGCAACCGAGGAATCATCCAAGAAGGGATAAAACATACCGACGGCATTTGACCCGCCCCCAACACAAGCAACAATCGCATCAGGCAGTCTACCAGAATTCATCGCGCCGAACTGAACTCGAGTCTCCGCACCGATGATAGTCTGAAACTTGCGCACGATAGTCGGATACGGATGCGGGCCAAACGCCGAGCCGATAACAAAATGTGTCGTCTTCAGCTCTCTCGCCCAGGTACGGAAGGCCTCGTTGACTGCGTCTCGAAGGGTACCCTTCTTGCCACCACCCGCGGCGTCAACAGGGATAGCCACCGCACCGAGAATGCGCATGCGCAGGACAGCCAAAGGCTGGCTTTCAAAGTCCTCGGAGCCCATAAAAATGGTGCATTTCATGCCGAATTGAGCGCAAATAGTTGCTGTTGCGATACCGTGCTGGCCAGCGCCTGTTTCGGCGATTATGGAGGTTTTGCCGAGTCGTCGGGCGAGAACTATTTGGCCCAGGGCGTTGTTGACCTTGTGACTGCCAGTGTGGTTGAGATCTTCACGTTTCAGCCAAATGCGTGCTCCACCTGTGTATTCTGTTAGGCGCGGGGCTAGGTGGAGGGAGGAGGATCGGTTGGCATATGCTGCGTAGGAGTTGATTTCAGCCCAGAAGGTTGGGTCTACATTTGCTGCCTCAAAGCCGTTCTCCAGCTCGGTGATGCCTTCGACTAGGGATCCTGGGACATATTGGTCGCTGAAGGTTCTCAGGTGGGTGTTTGTGTATCTGTGGCTGGTGGCATTGTCGGTTTCTTCGGGTGTATCACCTGCTCCATCATAGGAACGGTAGATAGTAGTGGAGGACAAGGCTTGGGTGGTCTGATTTTTCCTTTCTGGAATAAGAATTTGATCCTCAGTGCGTCCAGCAATCTGAAGACAATACTCCTTGACCTTCTGAGCACCAGTTCCAGGAGCCGCATTTCCCAGTATGGAGATGATTGGGCTGCCAATGACGACTGCTTCAGCGAGACAAGCAATATTAACAAAGTTTTCTCGGGCGTTGATACCGAACTCGACAGCTACTGGGGCTGAGTTCTCAATGCAAGCATGCACACGACGGAGTAGGTCTCCGACACATTCATATGGCTTTTCATGGGTTCCGCTAGCTCCCATCCAAGCTGGAATACAAACAAATGAGTCGGCGATGCTGCAAAGCATCTTCAGGTGAGCGCTCGGGGCGGAAGAGGTAGCAAGAGGAATGTACGATAACCTGGGATCTTGATTAGCCAGATACAAATGAAAGCGGAATATGGGGCACACAGACCCTTTTGATTTATATAGATCATAGAACCACACCGTATCCTCGGGGGGAATATCAGCAATGAGAAGCCCGTCCACACCGGCGGCCTTGCAGTCTCGAAGTAGCTTCTGTTCTCCGTAGGCATAGGTACGAACATGGCTGTAGTACACTACCAGCAGCACGGGGACAGCCAGACCTTGCTTACGGGATGACCTGACCATCTGTAAGATGTGTGAAATTTGCACGCCGTTCTCGAGGGCCTTGGTATTGGCCTGCTGGATGGTTGGGCCTTCAGTCACGGGGCCTGTGAAAGGAATCCCAAGTTCGATGATATCTGCCCAGGAAGTATAATTAGCTGATGTCGAATACAGGAAGGAACATGTCTCACGGAAGAGACACTAGTAAAACAACACCTACCTGCACCTCCGGCCTGCATGGATAGGATGATGTCTGGTATTTCGCTAATCGTTGGATAACTAGCTGTCCCGTATGTGACCAAAGCATCACGACCTTTGGCCTTGCATTCTGCGAAGGCTTCTTTGGTGGCTTCCATGTTGTTGTAGACTGAGAAGACAACAGTTATTTTGTCGAGGAGGGAGCGCTGTCGCACTGTCGAAACCTAGTGGAAAGAGGAGATAAAAGAGGAAAAGAAACGTGAGATGGAACCTGCACCTATTTGAGCTTACAATCCCAGCTTCTTACTTGGAAGTCCTATGTTAAAGGCATTTGTCTGAGGTCTGCCTGTTTGCTCCCCAGGTCCTCTCTTCCGGCCAGACATATTCTTCCCTTTTCCATACTAATTTATTCAAGTCGTTTCCCTAGCGACTTTGCCATAATAATAGAGAGGGGACTCAAAGCTACCAGTATTACAGATAGGAGGGTATACATATAAAGTGTTGATTATACGTGCCACGAGGAGTCCACAATCGTCCGACCAACTGAAGCACAATGGCCCGAAGCACAATGGCCCGTTGCTGAGTCTCCAGCTCATTTGGTAGATCAGCTATTTACCTACCTGTTCGCCCTCCTCACTAGATCCAAGGCTCGAAAATTGAAACTTGCGAATAGCATGTCCCTTCCACATGAGCAACATAACGAACATAAAGGAGAGCACCGCAAAGAAAGCCATCATACCATAAACCCAGCCAACATCAACAGCCTCAACCCAAGGGTTGATATAGAAGCTAATTGTCAATCCATAGACAATGCGATAAGCACCAATAACAATACCAGCCTCAGCCGGATAGCGCGTAAAGCACTCGACAACATAATTCACCGTGACAGGCACACTAGCCAGCGACCCAACAGTCACAATAAAAACTGCCAGAGCGAGTACCATATAGTGCAGATGATACTGCAACGCGGCACCAAAAATACCCAGACCGATGGGGTTGATCACAAGACTAGGGAGCCACAGGACATGCAGTCGATACTCGGGCTTCCAGACACCGCCGTTGTACCGTCGCGCCAGTGCGAGGGGCAGCCGATCGTTCAGATAGTGGCCGTAGAATTGGACGACGATGATGCCAATCCAATGGCAGAATGTGAATGCCGCGTTTTGTTCCAGTGAGAACCCGTAGCCACCTTCCGAAATGGGTTTCTGGAGCCACACCGGCGTGAGGGCATTGACGCCCACGTAGAATCCAAAGGAGATTAGTGTGAACATTCCCATAATCATGGTCACAGGACACATTCCGATTAGGAAGGGGGTGATTCCGACTTTGGCCTGTTCGATTGACGTTAGTTGAATTTGGTTCTTATGGTACAGCATAGAGCGTCAGGCTTTCCCTGTACATACCGTCTCTTTCCAGGTAGTCGGCAAGACAACCTTCTGCCCGAAGAAAAAAGTAGCGAACCTGTTAGCCAAAATTCCACCTGGGATATCTGGGTTCCTTTCAAAGCATTCGCGGTCGAATCCAGTTTCCCAAAGGAAACAGAAACAACAGACAAGCGTGAACCCTAGAAGACCGACCGTCCACCAGAACTCAACAGGGAAAAAAGAGTGCGCAGAAACAAAACCCGAGAACGTCGGACCGGCAATAGTTCCAAACAAGAATGCCATATGCAGAGCAGTAAAAGCGCGGCCTCGCTGGTGCAAGAAGAACAGATCGGTCACGATACGAGGGCCAAGCACTGTAGGCACAGCACCAAAGAAGCCGGTAAAGAGCCGGGACATAATGTATGCAATATAGTTTCCAGGATCAGTCATAACAGCGCCCCAAATCTGGCATACTAGCGTGAATAGCACACACCAGAAGATCACAGAGCTGCGACCGAGCATGTGAGAGATCGGGGCGAAGAAGAATGGCCCCGCGGCCATACCGGCTAGGGCGGCTGAATTCTGGGAGATATTAGATGGAATGATACTAGATTTGATAACCGTACAGTCAGAAGTCTCGGTTAGAATGGAGTTGTAGACATACTGCATAGGACTCTTCCAGCTTTGTCTTGTTGTACAGCTTCTCCTGATCAGCCAGGTTGAGCTGCGCTGATAAAGCCGCAGTAGCGCCGGAGAAAGATGCGAGACATAACACGGAAAGTATTACATATTTGCGGGTAAGAGGCCAATTCTGAAAAGATCCTATAAGTTTATTTCCAGGTATAATGATGCTCGAGGGTCTTCTGCCATACCAAAGGGTCCCGGGGGTGGGCACTAGGTTGGGGAATTAGGACAAGTTGAGCTGTATGGTGCTTTTCCACTGGGGTTAAAGGGGAAGAGGATGCGTTGACATCCAGTACTCCTTTGTGGTCCATAGCTGAATTTTATTGCGTTGTCGGATCTTATATAGCGATCAAGTACGGAGTACCGTCTCTGAGGTTTGTCGCTCGCTATCCCTTGCGTCGACGTCTCCTTTTTTTTCTCCCCAGACTTGGGACACAAGATATCTTGGCGGGCTAGATCAAAAGCTTTAATTTCGCCAAGCTCTTTTGCCGATCTCTTGTACGAGTAGAGGAAAGCTCGCATGGGGACGCGTCAGCTTGGCCCTGGGGTCGGTTGTGGGGTGTTTGGTGTGTGGGATGGAGGAAGCATATAAAGTACTGGAATAATTCCTAACATATTCCACACCGAGAACACACTGTGAGGAATAGCACTGAACAGACCATCTTGGATTTGTGTGTTGTCAAATCGGCGCTGAAGTGGACAGTAAAAACGGAGGCCTGATATTTCAGGTGGTTCAAGCCACAAGTGGCACTTTAATATCAACTTCACACGGTCACTAGTTATCACTGGGATTATGCCTGATTATTTTGTCATGTCTCACATCTTGACAAGCAAAATGAAGCAATCGGCTACCCACGCCGATCGTCCTATCCGATCCACATCAGAGAAAAATGCTCCACGCGAGAAAAAAACCAGGCTTCGGCAATGGCTTCAACACGCCGAGGGATCTTTCATACAAAATGTCCACTGAATCCTGTTAGATTATTCTCTGTGCACATCATTTCACTGCTTGAGAGATGCGGAAATCATAAATCAATCTTTTATATTGATTATATACCATCTAATTCCACCTAACGACCAATCATGGAATCCAGACCAGATCTCGAGTCCCAAAAACCGCAGGTTGATTCTCCTCACGACTCGGAATCAGAAGACGACCTGGTCCTAAAACTCCAGCCCTCAAATGCCTATGGCATCCCAACATGGCGCAAATGCCTCATCCTCTTTGTCGTCAGCTGGATGACCCTGGCTGTCACGTTCTCCAGTACTTCACTATTGCCCGCAATCCCGGAAATTGCTACCGAGTTTTCTACTACATCCGAGATTCTCAACGTCACTAACGCTGGTGTGCTGATTGCCATGGGCTTCTCGTCTTTTATTTGGGGTCCCATCACCCACCTATTTGGGCGTCGCAATGCCTATAATGCAGCTATCCTTGTGCTTTGTGCATGCTCGGCTGGTACCGCCGCAGCGATTAATTTACACATGTTTATCGCAATGCGCATTCTGGGAGGGTTCACAGGTACCTTCTTCATGGTTGCTGGGCAAACTATTATTGCGGATATCTTTGAACCGGTATGTTGGTTTGATTCCGCTTGTCTTCTGATTACTGACAGGATTTGATAGACTGTGCGTGGAACGGCTATCGGCTGCTTTATGGTTGGATCTGTCAGTGGGCCTGCAATTGGTAAGTTGAAATATCTATGCGTGTCGTTATATCTAGGTGACTAACTGTTTAATTAGGACCCTGTATTGGCGGCATCATCGTCACATTTGCTCAATGGCGCATTATCTACTGGCTGCAATTTGCGATGACCCTACTTGGCCTCGTCTCGTCTCTTCTTTTTGTGCCAAGTATTCAAGAAAAGAACCAGACCATCGACTCCAACAAACCCTGGAAGCTTTGCACTGTTATAAGCATGTTCAACCCCTTGCGCATCTTTCGTCAATTTGTGTACCCCAACATCTTTCTTGCGGTAAGCATTCCCTGCCAGCACTAAGATTGCAACTTGTCCAGTTTCTGACTAACAAGCAACAGTGCCTCACATGTGGCCTTCTTTCTACATTCCAATACACACTTCTCACATCAGCCCGCTCAATTTTCAATCCACGTTTCAACCTGACGACTCCACTCGTCAGCGGCCTGTTCTATCTCTCCCCTGGAATAGGGTTTCTGATAGGTAGCGTCGTTGGCGGCAGGCTGTCCGACCACGCCGTGAAGAAATGGATTCTGAAACGAAACGGGGTGCGTCTACCTCAGGACCGTCTGAACAGTGGTCTTGCCACCCTTTTTGGGGTCCTCCCAATTGCAACCTTAATATACTGCTGGACCCTACAGGAAGAAGTGGGTGGTATGGTTGTGCCAATTATCGCCGCTTTCTTTGCGGGCGTAGGGCTTCTAGGTGCTTTCAACGGGCTGAATACTTATTCGGCTGGTGAGTGTTACCTACTTAATACATTACGTATTCCCGAGCTAATCATATATCTTGCAGAGGTTATGCCGCATGTTCGTTCGGAGGTCATCAGCGCAAAGTACGTGGTGCAGTATATCTTTGCAGCCGCAGCGACGGCGGCTGTTGAGCCGGTAATCAGTGCTATCGGAGTAGGATGGACATTTACAATCTGTGAGTCTCCCAATAATATCATGATTCAAACATATCTGACAACCTACTCAGGTGTATTTTTCGCTATACTAAGTGGTTTCCTTGTGCTTGCTATCACGAGATGGGGCATTGATATGCAGCGATGGTCAGAAAGGAAGTTCAGCCTCGATGCGAAATCTTGATCACAACGACATGATGCTTATTTCCCACTTGTACTTATGTTTTTGCATCATAGGCGACATAAAATGCCTGCATGATAGAGTTGGTTTATAGATCGCGATAGACATGACTCAATGATTTTGTGCATAATAATAGAGTTTGATACTAAAGTTTTTCGCTATATGGAAACTCCAAAATGAGACATCTCAGTACATTTCAAGACACATTATTTGTTCCTACTTAGGTCCACAATATATTATGCTCGCCTGGATAGGCCTGGCAAGATTCCAGCGCGACCAGCAGGCTGATTAGTCATCTCCAAATCGGCCAAACCCCCAAACTTGCCGAATGCTCGGGAAAAACCTTCCAAATCTCCGACCGCATGCATCTTTTGTTGCGCAATTTGAAAAGTCCGAAAAAATAATTTGTCAATATGGCACGAAAAAGACGCGCTCTTACACAAGAGCAAGAGCAGGAAGGTCGGGATTCCCAAAGAAGGAAATTTGTTGCGTGCGTATTCCAGGTACTTCACGCCGAAGCCACCGAGTACTGATGCAGATTAATAGCTGTCAAAGATGCCACTCGCATAAAATCAAATGTTCCGGAGACCAGCCGTGTAGCAAATGCTACGCAGTAGGACTCGCTGATGAATGTGCCTACGCTACTCGAGATCGCCAGGTGAAAGTTAGTGAGAAGTATGCAAGCCAAGCCGCAGGATATTATTAGGCCAAGCCTTCTTAAACGCTTGTCTATCACATGTGTCAGACCAGAAGCTAAAACAGCCTTCTCCAATCAGCTATCTAGATCAGATCCTTGCAGAGAATCAGCGGCTCAAAGAGCGATCGATCACTTCGGCTCAAGTTACCGAGACCAACGACCCCTCGCAGAGGTAGACATACATCCCTTGATTTTCCAAAAGATGACCCGCAGCATACTAAGGTGTACAACAGACGCCCTTCCAGAACAGCAGATGTCCCTGATGGAACAGGCATACAGAATCCATTAATTGGAGATCGAGCCTGGTTCCACCGGTATGATCCTTCTTCGCCACCAATCTACATCGGCGAGGCAGCGTGTTCAGCATTCGCAACACGGTTTCGTCGATTCTTGTCGGGGAATAGTGCAATGCCACATATTCCCCGAACACAGTATGAACGTGAAGAGACAATCACCGCAGCGAACGAAGCCGATATCCAGTGGCCGAGTCTTCACCATGCTCGGCTGTTAGTCCGGATAGCAATCCACCAGATTGGGCATCTGTACCATCTCATGATGCGCAAGTCGACACTAGATAAACTGGAAGAGATCTACCAGACACAAGACTTTGACTGCACGGCTAACAAGTGTAAGTTCTTCGCCCTGTTCGCCTTCGGACAGGCGTATTCAATCCGATCTGAGCCCAATTCGGGCTCCAGAGTACCAGGCACGTCATACTTTGCTCGATCAATGGGATTAGTCCAAATGTTGCCGGAGAGAACCAGTGTTACACACTTGGAGACTCTATTATTGTTGGTATGTGGCTCGGCATGTACTATTGTTCAGCACCAGGGAGCTTACCATATCTCAAGTCTCTTTTTTCATACTATCTCAATCGGCGTCATTCAGCGTACATCCTGATCGGAAACGCCATGCGGATGGGTTTGACCATCGGCTTGAACCACAATATTCCAGAATCACAGCTCATCGACCCAGTGGAGCGCCAACACCGCATCCAAATATGGTGGACAATCTACATCTTCGATCGGATGTGGGGATCTAAAATGGGCCTCCCAATGCAAATCCTCGACGAAGATATCCACGTCGACATGCCATCGACCATCTCCCCCCGCTGGCGCCACGAAGAAGAACTCTCTGACTCAGAATATATGACTGCCAACATCAAGCTGGCACGCATAGTCGGCGAGACAATCACTAGACTATACAGCCGGAGAAAGTACCAGGAGACCTTCCTACAGCGCGTTCAGAAACTTCTCAAAGCCCTGAAACACTGGGTGGAGACACTCCCCGAATCACTAAGACTGAACATGGAAGACCTGGAATCGAGCAAGAAACCCATCGTCTCCCTCCACATGGCCTTCAATCAATGCGTGATCTTAACTACGCGCCCAACGCTACTACACCTCCTAATAACACTGAGCAAAAAAAGCAAACCCCACCCCAACGCCGTCAATAATACTAGCAAATTCGGGATCGGGACCGAAAGCGATAGCGAAGACGTATTCGTTTCCCAGCCCGTCCTTACTCTAAGCGAAGCATGTATCCATGCAGCGCGACACTCTCATTCGATGATCCTGACACGGTGGATCAACGGATCCATGCCGACCTTTGGCTATTTCCACGCCCACTACCTCTTTTCTTCCGCGTTGATCTTGGCAATGTCCAGCTTTGTTCCGATCGGCAGTCCGACGGATATGACGGGGTTCGACTCAGCGCTGGATCTGCTGCGCTCCATGACCGAGAACGGGAATCTGGCTGCGGCGGAATTTTATCATAATCTTGAGCAGGTGAAGGTTTGTTTGGCTGCGTATCGGGGGATGAGGCGAGGCGAGGGGAGTACTGAGTTGGCTGCTGGTAGAGGAGTGGCTACTAGTACCAACCCTAATGCTAGTGGTAATGCTCCCTCTGGTGTTGGTGCAATAGCTTTATCTGGGCCTTCATCGGATTTAGCAACAACGCCCTTTTTGAACACCTTGCCACTGAATCCATCGGCATCGACATCTACGCCCCAGCCGTCGTTAATACCAACAACACATGATATCATTGCTTCTGCCACCGCCCATCCTGTCCACAGCCATGGGATCGATGCATGCGCCTATCCATTGAGGGATACCGTCAGCGGGTACACGACCGAAATGGCGTTTTTAGAGCCGACCATGCAAGATTTCCTGGCGCAGTCAGATATCGACCTTGGGCTGTTGCATCCTGTTGATACGTTCTTCACTGAGGCGGAGAATTTATATACGTGCCATGAGTTATGATCGGGTTGGCCAGGGCAAAAGATATATTCATAATCATATGCACATTTTACGCAATGAGACGCAACCAGCTAAGCGAAAAGCATTGATAAAGATAGGCCGAAATCATAATTGAGTCATCACATGAACAAGTATTTCCAGCGTCATAATGAACACGTGATGGATAGAACAAGTTGCATGGTATATGTCGTTGTAGCCTGCAAGCAAAGCAGATGAATCGCTTCAGGTCACTTTCCCCCACCAATCAATCCAGGGTATAGATCAAACTCCCATAACTACACGAGACATGTTGAAAAATGCGTGTTCCTAGAGTTCGGTGTCAACATCGAACCCAAACTTCGAGCCATGCCGTGAAAGAAGGTCCATGCAGACAAGCCAGGCTCGCTGCGAAGAAAGGTCTTTGGTTGACATCTCCTTCAACCAGCGAGTTGCTTTGTTGATCTTCTTGGTGATGTAAACCGCCTTCGTGGTGCCTATATGAGTGCGCGTGAACAGCTCGGTGAGAAGGATGGTAGTCGACTGCATGATGTTGTGCAGGACGCACCACCATGGAGCGACGCTATACAGCCAAGTCGAGTCTAGCTCCTCGGGGAGAAGGTCAAGCATTTGATCTGCCATCTGAACGCACAAGGCTGCCATATGGTCACACACCGTTCCCGGGGAGCTTGCTTCAGATGACTGAGATAGATGGCGGATACAGGGCTGCAAGATTATCAGCTTCGTGGCGTAAAATCGGAAAGCAAGACTAGCACGCTGCTGTATAAATTGGTGAGTTGTGTCTAGCGTTGTGAAATCAAACTCCGCCGGGAGACGAGACAACCAGTTATCAGCATGGTTGTTTAGTGTGGAAATGGCGGTTTCGATCTCATGCCATGACCGTCGCATTGCTCTAGGAGCATACAGGACACCAATAGCCTCCCGTAAGAGATGAGATAGGTCCACTGCATACAGAAAGCACAGAGAGGGGTTAGGTGTCACGTTCTCTGCCCCTGTCTGACTGGCCTTTTCTTGTTTTACATTGCCCGACCCTTGCTGTCCCGGGGTGCTGAGAGTCATGCTCTCCCTTGGCGAGGCCTCCGTGGTATGGGAAACCAAAGAGGCGAGAAAGGCACTTCGAGTCCTTTGGTCGGTAATAAGTTGCGCAACACGCGTATCAGAAAAGTCCTCGTCTGCGAAGGGGACAGGGAGTGGGGTGGAGCAAAAAATGTCCCCAGTACCAGGTGGACGGCCTGTCATCTCACATAGCACAATATCTAGCATAAATAGCGCCCACCAGACCCGATACCGAAGTTCTTTCGAACAGTGTGTGATGCTCTTGCTCTCGCTTCGAATGTTTAGACCCATAGTCACCGCCGATCGAATCGCAAATCCAATGAGTCTCCATGACCTAGATGAGCAGGTCCCGCAGATCAGAAATCAGTCATGCGGAGATGGAGAGAAAGGGGAACCAACCTATTAATTTGGCCAACCGATAGGAGGTAAAAAGCAGCCAAGCCCTCCACCTGTGCCTGTTGTAAGTCGGGATGACTTAGCAATATGCTACCTGCGTTCAGCCTCCACGCTCGTGCAAAATAAGTCTGATGGACATCGCAGTTTGTTTGGGGTTGATCGACGAGCAAGGAATGTCTGGTCGCAATGGCAAACACTAGGTTTAGCATTATCATCCATCGTTTCCCAGGTCGCACATTCTTCGCATAGAAGGATCGATACTGATGCAGGAATATTGCCTTTCCAATAACCGGAAAGGTAGGATGAACGACGTGAAAGTAGGTGTCAACGAGCCTGTTAGCGATTTGTTGTGAAGGCCGGCGTGCGAGGTCGATATCGTCGAGAACCGAAATCTCCAAGTCATCTTGGAAGTAGTTCACTGAAGAAATCGAAGGGCGTTCAGGGGTCTCTGGTGTTTGCAAACCGTTATGGTCAAGGTCGCGTTTGAGTCTGTACAACCATGCCGTCACCGAATGTTCGCCCACAAATCCCGTCGCCTGTACTTTCTCGTCTCCATTGAAGTCATCTTCGGTGTAGTCTACAATTCCCGAAGGAATAGATATACCAGTATTGGCAGGAGAAAGTACCGAGTGATTGATATGGCCTGATGGGTGGGTGAACAAGGCAGGGATCTGGGTAGGGGGAATGACTTGAGTGAGCAAAGTGCGTGCATTTAGCTCCATCAGGGTTTGATCAACCTGCTGGGCCGACGAGACATCCAGCTTGGGATAAATATCGCGGAGCAAGGCATCAAAAGTTTCAACCTGTGTAGTTAGATCGTTCAGCTGCCTATCACACGTTAGAGAATATTGAAACTGGAAAAAGTTACGTACTTTGCCATCTTATCCCTTTTCCGGTCGCCATATGAGCACTGGACGCCGGAATCCAGACATCGATGACAGGCTGGGCGATGGCCACTACATTTGGCCTTTTGTTCACGGCAATTTTCGCAAGCTCGACTGACTCGACCACTGCTAGTCCAACTACTGGGTTGTGCATTCCGGGGGATAGCGACCTTTGCATTCACGCGGTCGCTGTTGGATAATGAATTATCACGGATATCACGACCGGGGATAGTTTCGGCGAACTCGACGGGGGAAGGTTGCGGGTATCCAGGCACAGCCCAGCCGTAATTGAATTCATTTTCCAGTGGATACTCGGAATAAGGGGCACCAAAGTTCTCACTCATATCGTTGATATAGTTTTCAACAAGGTTTGATTATAGGAATGGGTTTTTCGAGACGCGAGACGCGAGACGCTAGCGGGACATCGAGTCATGGGCCGCACTAGAAGGCCGCGGAAGAGGAACCCCGGCCCCCTTGCACAAGAGTAAAAAAAGTCAAAAATCAAAAAAAAAACCGAAGTAGTAGATCCCCCTACAGTGGGTATTCACAAGTGGGTTTTGACCGAAATGAGAGCTTCTGGTATGCCGGATGCCTTTGCCGGGTCGCCACTAAGAGCAGTGATTAAACCAATAAGCGCTTGGCCAAACTTTGGTGGTATTTTTTGACACAGCATGGATGTTGTAAACTCTGCCACGCGGTGAACATGAATTGTATCACATGAAAAATAACATATGTGATCTGTACGATCCTTTCGAAGCTTTCCTTGGTGTTTGAAGCATCCATGATTTCCATGCCGGTAGTTATATGAAACATGTTCTCTGATACGCCACGTGGGACTGACGTCCTCCCTGCCCAAGGAACAGTTCCATCGTGACATTGGACGTTCCGAATAGTATCGCCCTCTTTCAGTCCGAGAATCACCGATGTTCCAAATCTCGGTGATAGCTTGACATTCAAACCACCATCCTTGTTCGAGGACCCGACATGATAGATCATGAATTCATTTCATAAAATAACATCGTTTTGGTAACCAGAACTGGATTCCGTCTGCAGTGAGGTTTCTGCCCGGGTTTCCTCTCCCTTTAAGGCTCTTGGAAAGGGTTGATGAAGGGGGTCAGCGCTGTGCTTTCAGACCCCAGAACACTGAAGGTTGTAAAAGGGCCCCAACTGAGCCAAACTTTCAATGCTTTTCTTTCAATCATATCGTCTTCTTGCCCTTCCAACTTGCCTCGATTTGGGCCGATCGATACTCGTTCGCCATCAAAATGTAAAACCCACCGATGTCGGCACGATCATCCATACTCTAGAGGCAAGCATGACAGCAAGTCATCACGACCCCATTGATAGAGGTGTCTTTTGCTGGATTTCCGGGTCTTTTGTACCAACAAGTCGACAAGTCGACCATTTTTGCTTGCGCGGTCAGTTTCGGTGGACATTCGGGCAGCTGTCTGCAGCATTGCTAACACGGCCTGTGAGCTGCAAGTCATTTTTAGATCCAGAGCTCTGCATCGGGCATTTAAACTCAGATATCACTGTAACCCTGGGGAGAGGTGCGGTGATGTGGCCGTGAGATGAAGTCGTGCTTCCCAGACCTCATTGCAAGCTGTGCTCAAAACTGAGGATGGATGCGACTAGGTCCTACAGTGTTGCCACGAGGTTATGAGGGTGGTCTAATACCCCGAGGGCATGTTGAAAGCATGGACGAGTCTGCGATCTTGCTGGACAAAGGTCGACCCGTGAGTGCGCCACCCGGTTACATCACGGGCTTAGGTGCACTAAGCAAGAAAAGAGCCACTGTCATGAGCAACATCAAAACATAATGAAAAAGGGAGTCCTTATTTGCATGTGAAAAGTCTGACTATTAATCGCGCTTCGGCGATTTCGGTTAATTTTGACGCGCTCGGCAGTCTCCATGGTTTCACGGCACTGACAGTTCCCGTGACATGCACCGGTGCATGAATCTGGACAACGACGAACTCTGATTGAGTCCGGGGCATCCTCAAGACATTCTAATTGGGTACTAGCAGTTGCAATTTCGAATATTCGAGGTGCTCTTGGATGCGAGGATAGGGATGGACTTTGGAGCAATGCGCCCCGTTACTCTTGCTTGTCCTGTGAGTACAACATGCAAAAATTCACAGTCGCTCGGTGCTCATATTCAGGGAGCTCCCAGGGATCAATTGACATAAACCAAAATCTCTGTTGGGGGTAACGAAGAGTGTTGTTTAGATTGGGTTTGGGAGACGACGGACATAGGGGCAGCCGGAAATCAATTCCGCATAGTATGGAACCAATTACGTAGACTCAACGGGTATTGAAGTGACCAATATCTCCGCCCTGTGGTGAGGTAAAATTCGAATTTTCGATCTGAAGCAATTGCGTGGACAATTTTGTGGAAATCCAGCCCCCTACGTCTTTAGTCTGCTTGTCTTTCTAATAATCAAGGAAATTTACGACCAAGCACACCTAAACTTACAAGATGATCGCTTTCCGTTCCTCTTTGATACTAATGGAGAGCCATGCCAAAGACCAAAATGAGACTAGTGCCTCATATTTAGCCTCTTCGGTCAAGCCGCCGTCCAGTTGGGCATTCCTCCGTTACACGGAGGTTTCATGTGTGTGCGCGCACGCGAGCGTGTGAGTGTGTGTGTGAAACTCCAACATCAATCGCTCGAACTGGGATATAAATGCCGATTTGACAAGGGCGTTACGGCATGGCACCCTATGATCGGTCGTTTCAGCCCTCATCTAACAGTAATTACAACCATAACCTATGCGTGATGAAATCATGCTTACTACTACTTACATATGTTACTATTTACTATTTACAATGCTCACCTTGCTTCCAAATATTTTCTTCTGGTTTTATCCTATTGGGTTAATCACACCTGGACATGCGCTTAACCGACCATAGCGATTAATCCAGTCCACCGGAGAGACAATTTACCTGTCCGCGAGCTACAAAATCATGTCTCAATGCCTCGTGCCTAGTGTGTCCAAGAAACTTGCACCAAGCTGTCAGCTAAAACAGGTTATCAATCCGTGGATGTGGGGCTGGCTCTAGAAATCCACAATTCGGGTTGCGCGGGACTAGCAGTTGACTGCTTGTTTCCCCCCAGAATTCGACTATTTTCGTTATTCGTTATTTCTTTTTCATTGTCTCTCAGAATAACACAGATTCTGTTATACATTGAGTCAATTGGTTCAATTCGTATGATATCTGGAAATCAACGGCTGCTATTGTATGATTAGACATGGATCGAGGTTCATATTTTGCCTCAGGCATGAATGCCACGTGACCAATATGATTCACGTGATCGTCATATCTCCCCTTTGCAAAGGCTATCTCTTGCAAGAACTCATGGGCGCATTCTGATATTTGAATTAACTAATTACGGTGAAATGCAAACATAAAGCCATAAAGAAATGTCTTTGCGCGGGCCCATGCGGCGGTCGCACCTGAGGCAAGTGAGCGCGGCGAGTTTGGAGAGCAGCTCCACTCACTCACTGGAGACTTCGAGCCGTGAGCACGACCACGACCAAGCTGCAGATGATCGGACCGTCAGACTATCCTCAGCAAGCTGGACACGACACCAATGTGCGCTTTGGGTGCACGATGAGACGTTTTCGCGTGAAGAGATTTTGTTGAATCCATCGGCTTTCGGCGAAACTGAAGTGCAAGTTGGGGATGTCGTCGAGATCCTACCCATGCGGGGACCTGGCGACGCTAGCTATTCTACCCTAAAGCCCGAGGCCGCTTTGAAAGCTGCCCGCGAGGGTCATGCGGAACTCAACTCGGCGTCCCAAGCGGATAGCACCTCGAAATTCAAGACTCCACTACAGAGCCGTTGTCTATTTGTGGTGAAGGCCTTACCGCCAGAAACCAAGGCTCGAAATCCTCAATTAGAGATTTCAGTGACAAATAACATTGCAAGCATCTTCGGTTTCAAGAACAGAACGCAAGTTCTATTATCGATTGTGGATCGAGACCAATGTGCAGCGTCTCATGTCGACATCGCCTTTCGCGATCAGTACATGGTCCGATCGGACATGTGGAGGCTAGTCATGTCGGAGCTATCAGATAAAATCATATACAAAGGACAAAAGATCATGTTTATGGGGAGCATCAAAGCCACTGTCAAGAACATCTTTATCCGAGAGAAGAAATGCCTCTCAGGATATTTCTCGCCACAAACGATCCCTATTTTCCGAAGCGAGTCCGCCAAATATGTCCTATTCATTCAAATGTCGAAAGAAATGTGGGACTTTGACTCGGAGGGGACTGGTGACATCCTTTTCAGTCGGGTTATCAATGGCTTCCTCCCGGAGCTCTTCAAGAGATGGGCCAATTCAGACGCAAAACATCTGGTGACCATTGTATTGTTCACTCGAGTCGAATATGATAAGCCCAACAATCCAATTCAACCCAAACTCAGCGGTGGGAACTTGAACAGCAAATCTGGACCAAACAAGGTTCCAACTCGAGATTTCTACCGCGTGGTAGTAAATGATATGGCAAGCGGCCATTGGACAACCATCCTAGACGAGCTGAAAAGAGAATTCAGGACCTTTTTGCGAGATGTGTCAATCCTGAAAACGGACGACATTGATGCTGCATCTGGCAGTGGTATCAAGATCCCTTCCAAGCCAAACATGGCAACCATTGCCGGGCACCCAAGCTCAGCCCTACGAGGAAATATCCTAGAGGCCATTCATCTCGCCTCTGCTCACCTGGCTTTCGACCATATCGATCGAGACATGGTCCACACTGGCACCTCGATCATTGTTATCACCCCCGGTAGCGGCGTTTTCGAGGTCTCTTATGAGTCCTTGGCTTCTACAACAGAAGCCCTTGCGAACCGAGGCATAGCAATTGACTTGGTCTGTTTGAGTCCGATGCCTCTCCATTCTGTGCCACTCTTCAAATACCGGGAGCCAGTAGAGCGAGATACTGGGGACTCTGGGGGAGCTAGGTCCAGTGAAGCTAGCAGGGAAAGGATGCCTTCTGAGATACATCATTCCCTGTCAAGCGTTGTGAGCAGATCATCATATCTTTCTCCAAGCTCATACCTATCTGCGACCAGAATGAGGGAACGGGCAACTCCTCAAGCTAAAGATTGGAGCTTTGGTATTCCCCATTGGCTTGACATCTCCTATTGGAACCCTGAAACATACAGAGAGGCCCGGCGGATCTTGAAAAAAGACCCAAATGCGCCCATCTCGCTTACCGTCACTCGGCCATCAAAGGCGTTCACGCCACGAGTGCGCATGTATGAGATCCAAATGATGGGAGTCATGGAAAGTGAACAAGCGAACATTACAATTCCCTATCTTACTGAAGGGC